AATGGTTTCCCACTAAACAAGAACAATTAGAAAGATTAACAATTTGTTTTAAGGTAAACACCCGTGATTCCAGTTGTCTCAAGTTTTTTCACCTCCAATCTTGAAAGCCAATTTGCCTCAAACCTAGCCTTTCATGCCATTTCTTCCTAGATTCCTCGTGATATTGGACATCCTACATTCACAGCACTTTTCTATGGTCCAAAAGCGGTCCCAAGAAATCATTATTTTTTCACGTTTAGAAGAAACACATGTTGGTCCTTCGTCCAAAAAGGGCTCCCCAAACTCTGAGGACTCCATTTATCAGAACGGGCTCCTAGTGCCTGGGCTCGAAAATCATCTCACGGTGCACAATGGCTCCGCCTATGGCTGTGCCTTGGCGAACCACCGGGCCGCGGGCGAAACTAGCGATTCTATCGGAGGAGCACCCAGGGGGTCACAGCGAATCTTGAAGAAACAAGACTGAGATGGCAGACCAGAGGAATGGGACTGAGATGGCAGACCAGAGGAAGGGGACTGAGATGGCAGACCAGAGGAAGGGGACTGGAAGCACTACTACATTTACCACATGAACATGATCCATCCATGAAAGTAACTCTTAGCAGGACCCGTTGGATGGTCAGAGCATGGCAGTTTTCTTCCTTATAGATTCCTGCTTGATTGGACAGAGGAGGCGATGGTGATGTATGCATCCACACTCAGATCATTTATTCTGTAAAGAGGGGACCACAACAGTTTGACGATTTATCCCTAGATGTCACGTTCTTCTCTTCAAGCAGGAGTGGTCAGTGACAGGATTTGCTTTATTTGGGCCGTGGACACGAGTGGCAGTGGCAAAGCGCTATCTTGTTGGGCGGGCCATCGCGGGCCTGGGGACTCCGCGTGAACTCTTTGACGACCAAGGGGCTTTGACGACCAAGGGGCTTTTGGACGCTAAGGTGACCGGTGACCAACTCTGGGTGACCAAAGGGGGGTTCATCTCTGGGGCGTTTGAACTCTAAGTTTGCCTCAGGATACCAATCCTTGCCTTTGCAACATGTTTTATATAGAGCCAGCTTGTGCCTTGTGCCCACTTCCAGCTGCCTTTTTTGAGAGGAGGGGCAGAAGGAGCGTGTGGCCAGTCCCAAGTCTGACCAAAAGGAGATCCCTAAGTCGCGTGAACTGTGAACTTCCACTGGCTTTCGTTTCCTCCTTCTCAGGTTTCTGATAAAACATAGAAGTTAAACATAACATTGCTTGTGAACGCAAGGCATCTTGCAGTCTTGCAACTGGACAATGTTTCCACTTTCACAGGTGTACTTGTTGGAGTGTGTGTCAAGACGATTGCGGCAGGAATGCAACATGCAATCGTCTTGACACCAGCGTTCAACAACGTGACATCCCCGTTGGCCCTAAGGCGGTCACCCCAACATCTCCGGGCACTTGTGTGAGACTGAAAGCCCAACCCATCCCATCTCAACCCATCCGAACAGACCACCGGGGCCGTGTCCGAGTCGGTCGGGATCCAGTCGTAGCGAACCTCAGGTGAGGAGGGAGACACCGCTATGTAGGTCCAGTCGTACCGAACCTGAGGTTAGGTACGACTGGATCCTTAGGGGATGGTAGGTCCGCATATCCAGACCACTCCAGACCACTCTCTGACGTTTCGACGCCACTGTACAATGTGAGGCCACAGTAGTTGAGACTTGAGCAGATCATCAAAGCAGTGGTCTGGCCTGGAGTTATGTTGTTGTTTGTTTTTGCATCTGAAGTCTCTACTGTGAAAGCTCCAGCAGCTGATGGCTGAGGTGGGGTCTACTGCGCCAAGGGCAACTGCGCTGAAGTTTCCTGGAGCTATGCGCGAGGAGACAAGCGTCCCATGCTGGTTTGCGCAGCTTTGGACGGGGAGAACAAGCTTGTGCCTTAGGCGAAGAGATGCTACCCAGCCATGAGGTACAGTCACAGTAGAGTGCATCAACAAAGAATTAAATAGGTGTCGTTTGTTTCATGTACGTACTAGGGACAACACTGTTTCCCAGCAATTGGCATGTTCCTTTATGCAAACAGTCATTGTAGATACGCAGAAGGCCCTGATCCAGCTGGTCCGAATATGCGACACCACAAAAAGTGTAGAGTGGAATATCATTCAAGGGAAGGCATATCTCTAAACAGAACAACCTGAAAAACATGTTTCAATGTTGGTGTTTCCCAAGAAGGAACCAATTCTTGAAATGAACACCCTCAAACCCCAGGATTGGTATATCGATATAGTCCTTGGATTATTCTTTTCGGGGTTGAGGGATTGGAGACATGACACCATGTGAAACTGCCTCAAAACAGTTCTGGTCAATGACCCAGACACTCCATCGGGCTGAAATATATGCCTATTGTACACTGATCCCCCCAAATCACTCCAACTGATCAGCCAATATGGCAGTCTCTTTGGTTTCTGTTTCGGTTAGGGGCTGAAAAAGGAGAAGACTTCCCAAATCATCCAAGGCCCGCATCGTGGCGGTTGACCCATCCAATTTGTGTGTTGCTCAACAAGAGGGTCAGGCCTGTCATATCTCACAGTGAACAATACTCAACACGCAGAGAACAAGTGGTTGCCCATCATCTTAGACCCAAGCGACCTCATGAACACCTGGGCACTGGAAATTCCAGGTCTTCTTTTTTTTCGTTCATCGAAGCACGCAGTTCTTCACCCCAGCACCCCAGCATGCCTTCCAACCGAAGCAACCAGGTCCGACACCTGCCCAACTTCATGGTCGTCTTTCAGAACCACCGCGTGATCCCCCTCTTCGAAGCGACGTTGCCTCCGCCCGCCAGCCGGACCCCGCCGCCGACAGCACCGGGAGCACCAACTGGTGCAGCTCCGGGCCGGTCCGGGGCGGTGCAGCGGCGGCAGATTGAGGTCGAACAGGTGAAGGTCAAAGGTCCTGGGCCCAGGACTGGTGAAGGTCAACGGCTGTGGGCGTGGACATCCGAAACCGCTACGTAGCATGTTGGTGTCGGGAAGAAAGAAACGGTCGGTGGATGTTCAGTTCTTTTCTCAGCGACTTGCGTCATTCGGGCAGGAGTTGGGAGTGACAAGCATACTATTTGCTTTGGTCACTTGGGTGCAGTCTATAAGAATTGGAAGACCAATCTCCTGCAAGACCGAGGACTCATTTCATCTCACTTCCATTGAAGCTCGAATGGGAGTGCTTCAAACCTGCCTGACTGCAACTATAAACGTATTGATGCTTATACCCCCCAAATGGATGTTTGTAACCCAATTATATAACCTGGTGGGTTTATAACACTGTAGAGGGAGTTCATGTTTGTACCATTGGTTCTGGCAGATACACACACAGTGCCAAGAGTGGAACATATATCAATGCCACTCGAGAGTTACTCGAACAAAAGAGAAAACATTAAATAACTTCATGAAGTATTCTGAGTATTCTATATATATATATATACATAGTCCCGAAATTGATAGAAGAGTCAGTCCACAAAAAATGTGCTTGAATCCGTTTCTGCCTACTGGGGTTCCTCTACAGTGATTTTTCTCGTGGATGTGCGAATGGACCTGGGTGTACTCGCCAATCGAACTTCCGCCTAGGAAAATCATAGAGCCTAATGTTGGGGCTCAATATACAGATCATCTATTACTATTTACCATGTACTTGTAGTATACTCACTGCTGGATCCAGTCTTGTAGTTCACCTCACTTAGCCGTTAGCCAGTGAGTAAATGTATATATAAAGTGAAATCGCATGCTTCGTTCCCAGACCATTTCGCCTGCCACCCGTCGGACCCGTCGACGGACCCGTGCAGGACTCGGCTGCAGATCCTGCGCACGCCGCGCGGCGTCCGCGTCGTGGGTTTCTTGTCTCGCCGCGCCGCGCGAACGCGCCGTGCATAAGAGAGTCGCGGTGAAGAGAGTCGCCGGCGTGGCCAAAAGGCGATGTGTTCGCTTGGAGATGAACAGAACTAAATTGGATCCTGAGGGATAACACCTTTTGGAACTCGTTTTGGGAGTTGTTCTCCACTGGAGGGTGGGTTGTCCTTGAAGAGGACACCTTCCAAATTGGGGGAATTGATTCCAGGTGAAGGAAGAGGGGTGTGTAACATTTTTGTGAGATTTTGTACAGGCTTACATGCAAATCCAACTCCGGGCATGCCAAAAAAATGGTACCCTGCCGCGCCGGGGCGCGCGGGCCCCGGCGGACCCTGGACTGGACCTGGGTTGTGGGTCAACGACCCCCCCCAGGCCACTCTGTACAGTGTACAGCGAAAATCATCCAAGATGCCCTGGGAAAAACAGTGATTTCAGCAGCGGGCTGAAGTGGGCGGTTTGTGGGCGGTTTCATGGAGGCTTGAGGAAGATGCTTTTGTTTGCTTCTGCTACAGATCGACCGTTCGCGCCTTCTCCCCACACCAACAGCGCCAATTGAAGAGTATGCACAAATCTAGGCCTTCCCCTCCCTTCCAATTTCACAAGCATGTGGAGAGATGCATTTCAGTGGGGATGCCAAAAGGCCGGCCTGCACTACCCGCGACCAACATCCCTAATAATCCTAATGCATATGCCCCGCCCAAGGTTGCATGCGTTTTTGCTGAATAGATAGACATTGATTAAGGAAGTTCAAGATGTTTTGTGGATAGCAATCCGTTTATGTCCCATACTCCCAGCCCAAACCAACTGATTTGACTGTCAACTCTTTCTGCCCTCCCCTACAGACTCACCCCTTCAGCCTATATATTGATGGATGCACCCCAATATACCCCAATTACAGTATGTGGAAAGACAATGAAAGACACACTGCTAGATTACATGCTGGAACATACTCAGAGCGTACCGGCAATATATAGATTGAAAAGACGCCATGAAGGGTATGGTGCACTCTCGTTTGAGTCCGCACCCTGACGCTGGCACCATGCATCCAAGCCATGAAAGACATTTCTGCGCAACATCACATTACCCGTGCTTCCATTGGATCTGGATACGTTCTGGGTCAATCCGGTCACCGCATCAGGGCGGGCTTTACCAACGCCTTAGAGGCCGGAGGAATGCGATGTTGAAAAGGCCATGCGGAAACCGAGGCAAGTCAAGGAGGGATGTATATACTCCTCTCGAAACTGACAGGGACCCTGAATCCAGTTGCTTTGAGGTTCCATGTTCATTTGCAGGGAAGTAATATGTTTCAACACACATTTATCAACATTTACCTTCGTAGACCAGTCACGGGGATTCATGCACGATCGGTCATTTGTTTGGCGCTGCAAGACGTGTTTTCAATTGTATTTTGGAAGATGTTTCAATACATATGTGTTCGCCCCCAGGTCGTTAAACATGTGTGTTGTTCAGGTAATGCAAACATGATTCGGGCATTTGATCATGGGCGTAAATCCTCAAAGATGTGTTTGCCTTTGATTGTTGCTTGGCTTTTGCTTCTCCACCCCAGCAACAGCCAGGAAAAATCAAAGAAACACACGATGGCACAGGTCACACTATAACACTTTGGTCCAAGCCTCAACTACGTCTATTGAAATGAATCAGGGCAACACATGTCAGAACTCGTATCAGAACAAGTGAAGCACATGTCGGAACAAGTGGCTGGTTTGATGACAGAACAAGTATCAGAAAATATGTCTCCGAACTTTGCAGAACACATCAAAACAACAGTCGGATCATATGTTGCAACAGGTTTCAGAATCTCAGAACACATGCCAGCTTTGGTGCGAGAGCACATGTCAGAAGTACATGCCAAAAGGTATGTCAGAACACATATCAGTCCTGAGCAGGATAGATGTCAGAGAATTTTCCAGAACATATTGCAGCCTTTATGGTAGATTATATGTCAGAATGCAGATGCCAGAAAAGCAAAAATGTCAGAACATTGGTACGCGTGTTAGGCTGTGTTTGTCAGATATTATTGTCAATACATGCACCTTGCCTTCTTCCAAATTGCTTCTCAGGGTAGGGTAGGGATCACTCCAACAAAAGTTATTTTTTACGACCCCCGATCGAGGAGAATCGAGGCTTGATGATAGCCAACAAATTTCTTCTGATCCAGACTGGTCAGACCAGCTGACGGGGAGAACGAACTCACTTGAAGTAACACATCGTTGGATGGTGCATGTGCACACTTTCCCCTGCCAGATACATGCTGTGTATCACCGTCATCACCGTGCTTTGAGATTTGAATCAGTCATGCATTCACACACATATAGAAAAATTTTTTCCACGCACACATCAATGAAGGCCACAACAATGTGAACGCTACGAAACAATTGCACTTGAGAATCATGCAGGGCACGTGCTGTCTCCGCAGCGCTTTGAGCGCCAGGCCCGAACCAATGGCCCAGCAAACCTCCTCATTTGAAGCCCTTGATGCTGAAATGGCCGGCGGGCCCAGTCAGGGTTGGGGTTTGAGGGTGGGTTTTCACACATCAAGACGAATCGCAAGGTGAGAAGACTAAGACCCGACAACGAACAACTGGTTTTTGTCAGTTTGCCAGAAGTTTAGAACAGGTCAGGTGATCAAGTGACATGTGAGAAGGAAACAACATGTCAAAAAGCAACGAGGAGGTTTGACTAGGCAACAGTGGCAACAAATTCGTTCAATGTTGCACTGCAGTTGTTGTTGGACTGGAGTACAGTAGTTTTGTTTGTTCCGTTGGTTTGAGCCAAAACATGAGGGCAACGCCACTTTTTGACGTTCCTATCTCATGAAGAACTGCTGGAGAACTGCTGGTTTTCGAGCTTGGTGGAAGCGGATTCCAAGAACTGCTTGGTGTCCAAGTGTTTCACTGAATCACAGGTTCGAAGGTGCAAATAGACTTGGGGACAAGAACCGTGGTAATGAAAGGATCTCGGCCTTTGTTGTTGAATCAGACTTTTGATAGGGCTGGAACAAGAGAAATCAGCTACTCTGGCCCATCAGCCTTCAAGTCTATATAGGTTGAATTATCTAATTAATACACATTAATGCGTGCATTGAACAAAACAATGTGAGCACCACCCTACGTGTGCATTTCACATACGGGCAGTCCTGAGACCAGTTCTGGTGTTGCTTCGTGAGCCGAGTCTCTCAGGATTAAAGTTTGCCACCTGCAGCCAGTGTTGACAAACAAAATGATGAATTTTGGTTGCGACATTTGCTTCTTTGTAGGCATGAACGAAAGGCCAAAACCAGGGTATGAGCAGCTAGATTTGTTGAATCACCGTGCAGGTTCCGCCAGGTTCCGCTGCAGTCGAGAGTACCATGTTCTGCAGTTGGAGACCTTGCAAGTGTATGTTAGCCCAAACCACACCCAGACGGAGGAACATTCCTTTGCCTCACGAACATTCCGTGAACATTCCTTTGACTCAACATCTCCGAGGGGTTTGGAGCGATGGAGCGCGAGCGGGCCGAAACCGACGCCATCCGTCCAATGTCGAACGTGAGCCCGTTCCGTTTGAACGACCCCTCACATGAACATCAGCAAGCTGCTGCGGCGTAGACCCTGAGGTTGCAAGAGATGGAGGAGAGGGCCGAAGTTCCTGGGGAAGTTCCTGTAAAGATGCTATCTAGATCACGATGATCAAGAGGACAACCAAGTGACTCATTTTTTCGCGTGCCGCCTTTTTGTCTTTTTCTTCCCGGATGATGCGAAGATGTGAGAGCTACAGACTATAGACAATGTGTATATAGATAATGTAGTTACTTTATTGCAGCATTTCGGTCGGTCATGAGGTGGTCAATGTCGATAGGAAATTCTTGAACTTGCTGGTTTGGAACACAATCCCAGACATTTCACGTATGGAAAGTTGACCCCTGAAACCACCCCAATGTAGCATACTAGGTAAATATGCTGCCATACATGGAGTGACTGGGAATGGTCGCATGCAAAGATGCCAAGTTATTCATCCCAATTCAGGCTTGTTGAGATGCCAAAGTCATTTATCCACTAAAAGAATGCAGCCTTGTGCTTGTTGAGGGGAGCCACAGTCGCTTGCAAGAGAAAGCCAATCTGTTGAACAACTGAGGTCGCTTGAAAGAAGGATACTGCAACTTTTGCAGTCACAGCAAACCACGATTTTGTATGAAGTTATAGTATTCATCATGTGTAGAACCTGCTTGACCGTCCGACCCCAACATGACCCCTGTGATCCAAATGTTTAAAGACGTGATCCAAGTCATGGAGGTCACTCAGGTCACTCGGGTCACGCAGGTCACCGGGATCGCCCCCGATGGATTTGCGTCGAGACAGGAGCTCTCCCGGCAGTTGACGCGTGCCTTGTCGCTGTCTTTGGGCCTCTTGGCGAGATGTGGATCTCAAGAGGTGCTTTGCTTATCGCTTGGTATCTAAAAGAAATAGAAACGGTTTCCAATACATTTTTCTACGTGGGGATCTACGGATTTCTATATATATATATATCAATATTTTCTATATTATATGGCTTCATCACAAAATTGCCAAGTCCAAAGCCGAAAAACAATTATATGTGAAGGGAGGTGATATGTTAGCATGCCTTAGCAAAAGAAAATCACACACAGTAACAAAACAAATGCGAAACTTTCATGTGGGAAAGCTTGCAAAGCCAGTTCTGTCCACGAAAGCTTACGAAAGTGGTTTTGGAACGGAGTCCACGAAAGAAACGTACTAAAGGAACGTTGAACATTATTAAATGTCAACTACTACCGGTAGAACATTCCGTGCTGTTGAAATGGCATGCTGATGCTGTGTCATCGCTTGGTCGGTCGGCCTGGGCCCCCGGACTGGTCCAGGTTTAACCGCCACCGGACTGGATGGATACTTCCTGGAGCCGCATGTGCAGGAGAGGACCGTTCTGGCCACCGAAGGGATCACCGGAGCTGACGGTCGTATGTTTGCGGCTTGCCCGGGTCGTTCTGCCGTTGGAAGCGGATGTAGATCTTGTAAGCGGATTTAGGTAAACATCAATCCAGGAGCTGTAACTGGGTAGGTACACATCGATCATGGGTACTCAAAGGAAAAGAAGTGACTCTGACAAAACCCAAACCCTGGGAGTCCAAGACCATTTAAACATGGTTGACCTGGTGTTGTGGCATACAATCCTCAATAAAACCCTTGTTGTTCGGTAAAAAACCATTGAAACCATGGTGATAAGCCTAATGGCAGAAGACCGTAACTCAATAAGGAACCGAACTAGGTGTTCGATCAACAGGATTCAAGTCGCTGTCGCCAGTGCTGCAGTGCTGCAAGGACCCAAACAGGCATAGCATGCGCACCATCCCTCGAAGCCTGAAGAACTCGGTATGGCGCCCACACGATGGACACGTGATGGACACGGCATGGACGGACACGCCACCGGCCCTCCGCGAGGCCAAATTGGTGCATTATCCACCTGCAGAAGGCGGACCGGACGGCGGTGCCCGGCGTTAGCACCCAACGCCCAGTTCGGTCGTCAAACAGTCGACAGCTGGACCGTTTGGAGCTTTCGTCGTGTTTTTGTGTGTGTTTTTAAAGCAAGGTTGGGTGCGGAAAGCTATGCGTTTTGCTTCAAAGAGAATCTCTTTGGAGATGTCGAAGCTGTCTCAATCCCTTTGGTATCCGAATGCTCTGGGGCTCTTTGGTTTGGACACCTTAGCTGGGAGAAAGTTTGTGCCGGAGCAGGGACGAGGTGAAGAAGAAGTGGGTTTCAATAGCTTTGCAGCTGAGCTAATCGATCCATTTGATGCGACGTCGACCCGCTTCGCTCGACGAAAAGGTCCAGTCCCTTTCTCAGTGACGAGCATCTATCGCATCTATTAGCATGGAGCATTTATGCGGTTCACAGTGCCAAGCAGTTGGAAGATATGTTTTTAATCTAAAGAAGAAAGAAGCTGCTGGGCGAATACCTGGGTTGACTGCCATTTGTGCGAAAACTGGCTAAGGTTTTTGAATGTTTTTGGACGGGTACAATACCTAAACGGACGTGCGAAGTTTAACAGAACAACTCACACACCACCCGCAATCCCGATTGGCGCGTTTCTCAGGGAATCATGAAACGCATCCTCAGGAGTCTTTGTCATACCTACTCGTACAATTAGCTATATATTTACAGCCGCGACTGCCCTTCGGACCCTACAAGAAGAGGACTCGATGCCCATAGGACTTCACAATCAATGCCTCCCAGGTGGCATGGGTGTAGGTGCTCATTGCGACTCGGGCTTTCTTACCTTGCTATGGCAGGAGAGGAGCCTGTGGTATCGCAGCATTTGGTGCAGTTTTGCAGGTCCACTATTACTTGATGTTGATCTTTGCCAGTAGCACATGCTGCAACAGAACACACATCACAATTAACATAGCACCTTGTTTGCAAAACTAGATGGGATGCATGCACATCTCCTTCGGATAAGCCAAAAGCTAATCTATTGCAAGTTGAGGATTTGACCCTGGCAGACTATGAAGACTATTATTACGACACACGCGTCGGCGTTCGGGGAGAAATTGAAGCAGACCGGGGCTTCAGAATGAATTATTGATGTTTGTTGCAAAGCATGATACTGGTTCCCGTGTAGCAGAACCTTGAAACAGTCTTCATGATGTAGAGTTGCGGGACGACCCCGGAGTTTGGAATTGCCAGCACATGACTGGTGTCCTTAAAAGTGTGTTTGCACCATCGCATTAGGTTAGAGGCCAATCGCTATTAGGTTGGAGGCCATCGCTATTAGGTTGGAGGCCATTTGTATTAGGTTGGAGGCCATTGCCACTAGGTTGGAGGCCAGTGCTATTAGGTTGAAGGCCATCGCTATTAGGTTCCTGAAATTTATATAAAGTCATTTTTCTACAAGGGTATGTTCAGACCTGAGCATTTCTTTGGGCTGCTGTCAGATCCTTGGACCCATCCCTGGAATGTTGTGTTATCCTGCAGCTAATAAAACAGTTAATGTTATTTTCCCAAATGGAATGTCATTATCATTCATGATCACATTTAATGTCCTTTCATCATTGAATAGAAACACAACACCAACACATTTCAGACCAATCCTAGCAAACACCGCGGAACATCGCCGGGTCGCCGACCGCCCGGACCGCAGACCAACCCCGTTGGTTCCAGGACTCGGAGGGGTTGGAGTTCCTGGATGCCAATGGTCGCCCCTTGACTAGACTAAGGGACCGACAGGACACCCCGAAAGAAGGTCCAGGTATATTATAGGCACTCCCTGACATATGGAAGTGGATGGCATGGCCCTTTGAATGACCCGTCGGAACACATCACCTTCTTGGAGGGTAGTATGTGGATCCAAAAGGAATATAAATACACATGATACGCCCTAGGGTTGCTGGCCCACCATTGATTTCATGTTGTTTTACCCAACAGCCATTTTTTACTCAGGGTTTTAGACTACAAATTGACAAAGCCAGGTGATGCCAGGTCCACCATTTGGAAGATTGGCTCTTGAAGGCTAGGATGTACTTACATTGACCCCGTGCCAACCACTCCAATGTAGGTCACTATGCCAGCCCCATCCAGTCGTGTCTGCAGAGTCTTCGATATTCAGAACTGTCCCGCAAATCGCAGCAGTGGCGACGTCGGGAGATGGGGACGGAATCGCCTGGATGAGCTGTAATGGGGAAGGGTCACGCTTAGAACATCATTTCTCCTGGACGTTTTTCCAACTTTTTGTGATGCTAGTAAGTAGCGGTACTGTAGAACAGATGTCTTGGCCTTATCGGTTTCAGTGAACTGCCTCTCTTGATCTCATTGGTCTCTCTTGACCATCGAACTCTGCCGGCGCTCAGAGTGGATCCCGGCCACACCGGTGCCGAACTCTTTGGTTTGCAACCTGGGTGAGGCACGGCGCGGATCGGCGCGGCTTGGGTGTTGGAGGTCCCAAGGATTCCAACAAAGAGAGGTCGAATCCTTTTTTCCAGAGGGAACATCTCCAGAGGTGGTGATACTTCCGGAATTCTAAGAGATTGTTTATGATTGTTTGCTAGCTTAGCCGGCTTAGCCTTCTTAAAGAGTACTGGTACTTGGAGAGGAGTGAATACTGTCCGTGTCGTCTCGTTGCGTCCGAGTGTGTCGTTCCGGCGTCACCGAACCCGTCGCGACGGCGTCGAGACTCCTTCAGCATGCCAATCAGCCAATCGAACAATATCCCTTTGATCAGACATAAACACATGTAACATAATTATACTAGTATATACACCCCCCAAACATACAGTAGTTGTATTAAAAAGAACTGGAGATACTACGTCGTCATGAAGCCTAAGAATCATCTTGAACGTCGCCATGAAAACATGGCGCCGTCCATGAGCCGCTCTCCAGGTGGTCCAACTGCTCACCGCTGGTGTTTATCCTGCCACCGCTCGACCGACATGATTTGTTGTTTGGGGTATGGGAGGTGGATGTCGGGGCCCTGGAAGACGGAACAACTCAACAACTCCACCCTGGAAGGCTGAACCACAAGCCCTGATGAGTGGGATTTGTTTCCCTCGTGATTTGAGGGTTTCACTGTTTTACCTTCGTTCAGGAATTTCTCTTTTGTCATAAGGGGGACCCTATTCACAGCTAGGCTGGTCAATTGAACAAGTGGTGACACTTCTTTGGTTAGGAAGCTTCCTCGAGACACACTCGTGTCTGGTGTTGTTATCCCATTATGGGTCAAAAATCGCGATTCTTCGTCTACAGTATATGTCTATAAACAGTGGTGTGTAAGACCCGCTGGCTAAATGCACCGATGAAAACAGTCGATTCAGCGAAGCCCACGGACAGCATGAGTCGGGAGCCGATACATCGACTGGTCAGGTGCTGCAGATGGCTACGGCTACTGTTGCACAGTTTCTAGATTCCTGCACCAGATATCCAATTGATATCATAATGTCATATATATATAACTGTATATAAATATATATATATATATCGTTATTATATGTACTGTATATGTATATATATATACATATCATATATCATATATCATGTAAACACCGAACCGGAGCTCCTTGGCGCTTTGTTTGGTGTTCTTTGGAGCCGGAGCGCCAGGTTCATCGCGTCCTGCAGCCAAAGACTGCTGGGAGCTCGAAGGGAAAGGAACTGGTTCGGGGACGACCTGGTCAGAGTGTGGTTCAACAAGCGGACCAGACCGATCTTTTCTATGTATTTGATCACCGTTTTCAGGTCGGCTTCGGGCATTGACACATGCAGGGTTGGAAGTTACGCTCGCCAGTGTTTTTTCTGCCCCATGCGGCGCATGACCGAAAGGGTCTGAATGTTCATGTGTTGAAGTTGAAGGCTCAGTTCGGATTGGGTTTGCAAAGAACCCGCTTTGAAGAACAATGTTTATGTGTATATGTAATTATTATGTATATATATATATACATGACAAAATAAACATGTGTTTTATGTTTGTTTTTGTAATCTTGATCAGACCTGATAAGGAAACTTGGAAAAGAGCTTTGCAGACCATTTTCTCCCAGCTTGCAGCTTCGAACCCTAGACCCAAGATCCTCGTTTCATGATGGGTAGATATATGGAGACTAACTTATATAAATATATATATATATATATAAATATTATATGTCTCCCAAGCCCGCAGAATACAGTGGAAGGCTGCCAGACTGCCGCTTACAGGCTACAGCAGGCCGCTTCTCATTGCCATACTTTTGGAATCCGTCTTTGGACGTTGAGGCGAGGACCTGCATTTAATGGAGGGAAACAGAACGCGAAAAGAAACAGATGGAGGGAACAGGGTTGAAACAGGTTGAAAAGAGAAGACGTTCTTTATGTTCCGTATTTCAGGTTGGAGATATGATAGCGTAACAAGATGCGATCCATTTCTTAATTCTGCCTCAGTTCCATTGTCGTGCTGCACAACTTGGGGTGAGTTCACGACTCTTCTCATTAGCAACTACTCACTTCCGAAAAGTGGCAAGTAACAACTACTTATAGTAATTATCGTGTGTCTTTCAATTTCAGGGGTTCCCAACGAACGGATGTTAACTTAATCTTCCAAACTATGTAGTGGTAGTATTTATGGAGGTGCTCTTATTAAAATGTTGATCATGAAAGCCAGTTGTTCCTGGAAACAGAGCACTCGGTTTGATTGGTGAGCTGTCCAGTTTTCAACATTCCCGCTACGTCCCCCAGAGATTCCAGTCCCAAATGTAACTGCTCATTGAGACCCAACGCGGCATGCAATACTATTGACCGGTTCCCTCTCGCAGACATTATGCCTTAATTCCTTGATCCTCCTTCATACATAACCTTTAACCTTCTTTTGGGAGTGGTTTCTCCACTAAACAAAAAACAGGTAGAAAAAGGTTAACCTTTATTTTCCAGGGAATCTGAACGAGTCAGCCGGCTGGTCTTACTTGGTGCCGTTGCCTGTGCCACGCTGAGCTTTCCTTGCCCGCAGATTCAAACCTTGGATCTTCCTCAGCGACCAGCTGAGCTCTCCGGAAGGCCCAGCGACCAGTCACATGCATAGTAAGGCTCATCGGTGGGGGTGCGTAGCGATGTAGTGTGAGGTGAGGTGAGGTGAGATGAGGTGAGGGGTGTGTGCGTGGGGTGGAGGGGGTTGTTTGCACATGTTTGGACTCTCCATGAGCCACATGATATGTTTGTTTGTGGCTTGGCTCAATCAAGGGTTTGTGGCCATAACTTGTCGTAAGCGAAAGGAAAAGCCCTTGTTGATCATCAGCCAGTGAGACCCCTTCATTTGGTGACATGTGTACAAAATAACAGGTTCAGCTCGAAGAGAATCAAAGAGAGACCCCACCTGCATGAAGAATAGATCGATGCAAACGGAGAGAACAACAGCAATTCGGAAGAACACCCACCTTACTTTGTTTGGTTAACAAAACTTATCCCCCTCTCCGCGTATCCATGCCGCCATTCTTGGCTCATTCCTTCATGTTCAGGCTTGAACTGTTTATCGACGTTGATCACCATTGATCCATGTCGAGCCTTGCATCGAGCCCTCAAGAAAAATGGATGAGTGAGTGTAATGGCAACTGTACACGGTTTAAGTCTACAGAGAGGACCGTGATCCAGTACAATGATGATCGTATAGTATTGTATAGTGATCCTCTGGTGTAAATCTGCAATCTACATCTACAGCTGACATTTTTTGGTGATCCTCAAGTAGAATAAGACCGTGACCCACTTGAGTACATACCTGCTCCAGGAACTTTTGAGCACACATGGCTTCATGTTTGAGTGTCCAAAGCTCGACCCAGCATGGCTCCAGTGTGTAGTACGTCAAGTGTATCGGAGGCCATGCTGGGTCCAGCGACCGCCATGTTTTCACGCGCGACGCCCTCTCCGAATGCCGGTCATGCTTTCGTGGAGCATGGTGGACGCGTGGGGACCTAGGTCGTAGCTTGTGATCCCCCAAGACACAGAAAGAACGTGTAATTATGAGGCAGGCGTGGCAGTTGCCTCACATTCCTGAGGCAGCCGCTCTCCGCGACGTTGACACCAGGACAGTTCCAACCAGGGCTCCGCGCGATTTCCCATCCCAGGCTGACAGCATGTTTCACACTTTTCCGCTTGATGTCTTTCAATGAAACGCTCAGTGCGTGCTGGGCCCCGGTTGGCGTCAATGCCTATGTATGAGGATTCGAGTTTGTCCTTTGACGTGTGTTTGTCCTTTCCCTTCAGCTGCTAGGTTGAGGGAGTCTCCCAAACTTTAGGAGTCTTGCTTGGTGCAAGTGGAACAGAACTCCATGGTACTTATCAACTGGGCTCATCCTCAAGGATGTGTTTGTTGAGTCGTGTTGGATATTTGCTTTAGGACGATTTATTTGATGTTGCAGATATTTGTGGATAGAACTTCAGGTCTTCTGGATCTTCTGGTTCTGAATCCTCCCCTGCTGTTTTGGAATTCACCCGTGCGCATTCGGGTCTATAACACCGAGCGCGCCAACGCGCAGATCTTGGCCCAAACCGTCCGACAGCACACTCTTCTGGCAGCGCCTGTTCAGCTCTCATCATGGCAGGAGAGGCAGGCTGGTACCGAAAGTATAACGTAATATAACGTATAGTAATCGTGAAGTACTTAGATAGAATATGGGCGATTCCCCAAAACAACAGGAAAGGGTACTGTTTTTGGATTGCTTCATACCTCTATTTACTTCAGGATGGTTGTAACATCGAAATCTAGCCCCGGGGTCCTAGTCCTCGTATTTTGTGGTGGATTTGGTAGACGGAGGCGCTACCAGCCACCGCCACCGCCACCATGTTGGTTTCCTTTGATGTTGGTCGCCTGGTGAGGCCGCAGCAAAGGGAACCATGGGCATTTTCATCGTCTTCGTGCTCTCCCGTGCGTTGCATCCCATGGTGATCGACTACTCCAAGGTAACTGTCCCAGTCGTGTTTTGCACACTTCTGATTTTGTTCACACGTAGTGCTTTTGAGGTGTTGATGATGCTTGTGAAGCTGCTCTAAAATCAAAGCACTGTGCTTTTGTCAAGCATCGCCCCATGTGTATATCTAGGAGGACGGAAAGATGCTCTATTCCAAGAACTCTCCTGCGATCATGAGCCAGCTCTTATTTATGCTCTTCGTGAACTTCTTGGCTTGGCAGGAGGAGGGAATGAAGGGTGTGAAAGCATGCTGGCAAATTCCCAAGGGTGCTTCAATTTTCATCGTCATTGGTCTCGAGGCTCAATTCTACTCGTTTGATTCTCTTTGCTGGCTTTTGACGCTTTTTCACTGTTCTATTTTTTCTGAACAAAGAAAGCCTATTACCCCCTCTCCTTGGTTGGCGCCAGCCGAGTAAGGTCTTTGGTATGCCTTTGGCGACTTCT